TATCCATCCTCCATCTGTGAGCATGCGTGTGCATGTTTTCCTTCTCATAACTTCTCTTTGTGAGATAATGGGTCTAATAGTTGCCTTAGTGAGGTCACACTGAAGCTCAGGCTTTCCAGGCAGTCACAAGCAGGCTCATGAAGTGCATAGCTGCAGCTGCTTTGGGTGGAAACACTTATATTCATGCTTAACCCCCTGGCTCACTCTATCCCCTCTCCTCACCCACTGGTTAGATGACCTAAAGATTTCCCTACAAATCAATCTGGCAGACTCTCTTCGTTCTGCTCTTGAGAACGAGACATAAATTTTTAGGGACGTTCTTGGTCAACAGCAGATGAAGCCGGTTCTTTTTGCCATCAAGGACCATGTAATCGACAGCTTTTCTGACATCAGAGACACTTGGGCTGAAGATCTGATTAGGATCCAGACCATGCTGTTATACACAGAAAGAAAGTGAAGCCAGGGTCTTGAAATACTTGCAAACATAAGCACCAGCAGCCAAGCCCACCCTGCAACAAATCACGAGCAGCCTCATAAAGGTCCTTTACAGTCCCTGATGGACATGATGTAAGTGCTGAGCAACCCAAGCAGCCCCTCCTCAGTCCCTACTTGCCTGCTCTGGAAGCTCTACATGCACCCAGCTGGGCACACTCCAGCACTCCTGAGGGTCTGCCGCTGCAGGGGAGGGGACAGTGATGCTTTTCAAACTGTGGCATCAAGACTTGCTTTATGTTCTTCAAAACCCACATGGACTGCACTGCCACAATTTTGTTTTAGAACATTACAGTCATGAGAGAGGCATCACATTAAAAACAACAGAAAGAAAGTGATATGATCATGACTTTCTGGGGAGGAACTTTAAGGGCATTAGCTACCTTCATTAAAATTATATTCATGTTCTTCTAAAGTAGGGTCAGACTGCTATTTATTATAGGACTCAACCACCTTTGCATGTTGTAGACTATACAGAAACAGTAGTAGCCAACTAAGATGCAATCTAAAAACATCATGGGAGAAAAGTGGGTAGAGCTAATTATTTCAAAGTGTCCTAGGAAAGCTAAATAAACTAACCACATACCCACAGACAGAATTCTGGTTTTGGTTGCCTTTTTTTTTTTTAATAGAGTGATTCAAAATTATGCTATCTTAAGATTTGTCTAGAAATCTTTCTGGAACAGTGATCCTTGAGGGAAGCATGTGTGCCGTTACAAGTTTTGTTTATAGGTTGCACTGTAACATACACAAAATTGCATTTCTCAATCACCTTCAGGGATCCCCTGGAGGTTTTTTCATAGAAATCATCCCTCTCTTCCCCCCTACTTCATATTCCCTAAGTCAGAATGCTGTTTTTTAAAAACCATTTTTCTCATGCTTAGGTCATTTTGTTTTCCCCCCTATAGTTTATCCACAGGCTTTCTTCAAAGAGGAATAGAGTAGGGCAATTTGATACTGAAGGTTATATTTTGTCCTATCATTTCATTCTACCTTTTTAATTTACTATATCTTACACAAACAAAGGAACTCCTTTGCAGAGGAGGACAGTCTGTCACTTAAGTGTATTTAACCATGTATCTTTTCAAAATATTTTTATCCTGAAACTACCACCATCTGGAAATAGTTAGCATGGGAAAACAATAAAAAGCCCATCTAAATTCACAAGAGTTGTTGCCTGCAATACTTCAACAAGAAGATTAGTATCCCCATTCATTTACTGATTCTACCAACACATAATGTTAAGTCATTTTTAAATCCAAACAGTTTGGAAAGCTCCTGCTGTTGCTTATGTGCTAAAGCCCAAGCTGAGGTTATGATGTTTGCCTTGCAGCAACAAATGCCAATTTGCACTCCATAAAGCATTGTACACAAGTTGTACTGTGACTGTAGATGGCCATAGGACATTTAGGGAAAATACAGATAGCTGAATCTTCACCTTGGCAGGCATAGGGAAAAAGCACACTGCTTTCTACTCACTTGAAATTCAAATGCATTGGTAAGGCTTTTTTTTTTTTTTTTTTGACCAGGAGAGCTTATGGGTCTTCTTTTTGTTGTTTTTAAATGGTACTGTGTTCTTCTCCAGTTGCCCTAAGAGCATTCAGAGCGCACACAGCCTAGAGCATGCACCTCAGGAGTGAGATTTGTTCAGGTCTTGAAAATGATCCTGTTCCCAGAGCAGTCACTGTGAAGGCATACATTAGACATGAATGGCACATTTCATTAAAAAAGCATTTTTAGCACAGCAAGGTTGTAGCCTCAGATTTCAGATGTTTTTGTATTTCCCTCTTAACTTCAGCAGTGTCAGTGGTTTCTGACATGAGAACTTCTTTAGTACCTTGGTAACATTGTAAAAAAACAGAGTTTAATGATTTTTCTTTATGATTCCACTTGGCTATAATAAATTCACAACTCTGCCAGTACTGTATTTTACACAATACTCAAACTTCTATCTCAACTGGAAGGGCAGTTTCAGCCCTCATACCACACTTACATTCAGCGTCCTTTGAGTTTGATTGGGTTTATATTTGAAATCAGGGCAGTGCTTAGTCTCACAAGGGGCTCAGTGCCGTGGACCCAACCAAACAAGTTACTTTAGCAGACCATGTACTGGCTTCGAACCCAGAGCACTGAGCACCTTCCAGGATTTAGCTGGTAGTCTATGGAAGAAACAGAAGTATCCTCAGAATGTTTTCTTTCCTCTGGTGGATATCTTTTATATTAATGAATACAAGTCCATATAATAACTCAGAAATAAAGATAGTTTTAAAAACAAATGGCATCTCTGCCTTCTCTTTTTACATTAGGGGTACATTGGGTTATAAAATTTGTTTACTGTGGCATTGTGTCCTTTATTGGAAAAACATCTACCTGTCCCTTATCAGTAGGTATTTGCTGAAGCAAACATTAGCTCTTCAAACAGCAGCTACATTGAAGTAGCTGCAGTTATCTCAGCTGCACGTCAATCAGAGCAAAGCTTTTGTTTGCTTCTTTTCTAATTCTTGTTCCTTGTACTTCAAGAGAGAATAGCCTGAATTCAAAGCTTCTAAGCACACCAAAGCAACTTCACAAGTAGGAAACAGAATTATTTGGGCACATAAGTCCTAGTTTATTATTTTAAGACTTCATAAAAGCTGTCTTTGATGGTTAATACTCTACTTGCTTCAACATCTGGTAGAAGGGCAAGTCTATTACAATTACCCAGTGATGAAGTTTTCCCAGTTCACAGGACTTCTCTAAGTTCAGCAGGCCAGTTTAAACAGGTTTATAATGATGCTCTTTACCTTCTTTACCTCTAACTGACCTTCTCCTTGTGTAACTTTTTTGGCTGGATCTGACTCAACCTGTAGACACCATAGCCTAATGTCAACAAGTGCTGCAGGGATCAACACTTGCACCTCAGCCACCGCATTACAAACCAAAGAAAGCTGGCTGTCAGACAAAACTGCTCCAGCCAAGAATCTGTAGTCCTTCTCTCTTCATGTACCACACAAGACAGGAAGACAGGAGCCAATGAAGCAAAATATAGCCCACCTCTAGACTGGCAAGAGAGCTTGAACACAGCAAGACTCCCCTTGCTCTCCCCACTGCAAGGTTCCCACAGCTGTTCAACATTGCTGTGTGGGGCTCCTGCCAAACAGGTGTCTCTGCCTCCCTGAGGGCTGGTAACAAATGACTATTTGAGTTCAATTTGTGCAATGGAAACTGTTTCCATGACAAGCAGAAGTGAAATATATATGCAAGCAACTGGTTCTGGGATCCCAAAGCCCACATGTTTTCATAACCTATACTGACATAGCCTTAGCCTTTCCACAGAGTCGGTCAGTTCAATGATGTCTTTGTTCCTCAGCTCATGAAACATGAGTTGGCAACCACCACCTTCACTAAGGCAGGTCCTCCTCTAAATCCCCTGGTTTGGAGGCTCAAACCCAGGTCTGCTCAGAGCTTCAAGTTCAAGAGATTATTAATGCAAGAGAACCACTGCAAAAGCTTACACATACATTCCTTCCTTATGCATAATTTAAATACTGTCAACACTTCTTTCTTTGCAGTCTAGTAATTCCTATATTAATCATTCTGCAAATCACTTTAGTACTGAACAGAAGAATTGCATCATATTGTAGCAATTTGACCAATCCTAAACTAAAGCTGCCAGAGGTTGATTAATTAACCGCACACTGTGATAGATTTTTAAATTACCTGGTGTTTTACGTTGATCGTGCATGATCAGAGCACTTCCAGCTTTGCAATACATTCCTCACGTGTGAGAGGACCAGGAAAGACAGCTTGAGAAATACTTCAGACTAAGACTCATGTCAAGTGTTCCTTTAACACATGTTTAGGAACCAAGTCTGTACATTAAGATGAATCAGCATCTTAGTACATAACATTTGACATTTTCTAGAGACACTGGAATATCTCTTGAGCACAAGGTGCATTACTTAACTCTACCCATCTGTGAAAGAAGGCTCACTGAAGTCCTTTGGGTACCTGACTAGAAGGTGTCTGTAGGGGATGGATATAACAATATCTACAGGAACCACACCAGCAACATTCAGGTGCAAGAACAGACTCCTGACACTTGATTACTCTTTAAGTCATGCTATCCACATGTTATGCTGACTAGCAATCAGTTTACTTATTTAAACAAGTAGTTACCTAGATCACAGACAGTGTTTTCTGTAACAGCTGATAGTAGTTTATCCGGGTGTTAAACTTAATACTGCTCTGGTACTAGTACAGTCCTACTTAATCTCACAGCTCAGATACATAGCTTAATAAACCATTTATAGGTATGGTTTTGCTTGTGGGTGACACGACTTAAGCTTTGACACACCATTCAAAAATTCAGAGTAGCTACACAAGCAGTGCTTCATTTAAAATGCATTGAACTCAAATTCCCAGAATTATTATAAGACCTTCTCCTAGACAGACTTTAACAGTCTTTCCCCAGATTAAAACTAATATGCAATGCAATACTTAAAAAACTTCTTTATTTTACTCTTAGACTTGGCTTCAAGGGCACCTTAAAAATCAGTTACACAACAAAGATTGATATTGCAAAAAAGTGGAGGTGCAGTTCAAAAAAAAAAAACCCATAGTGTCTTGAAATATAAAAATATATATCCAAATGATTACCTAGGAAGAGTGTACCACCTTTTCTGCCTTAAGCTGGTCCTGCCAGCTTTTGGGTCATAACTCCTCACTACAAAGCTCAAGAGCTCACAGTGGAAGGAGCATCTCCAAGGTTCATGTCACAGGCACGATTCATAGCAAACTGCTTTGCTGCAGCACATGGACCCAACCTTAAGTTTTCTGAAAACATTCCATAGTTTTCCCTTGAGCAGTGGTCAAAAAGCATCCAAACATCTCCTGGGAAGCATAGGTCATATATACAAAGCCATCTTCATCTTTGTAGTCCCTGTACACTTCTGCCATTGTCAAAGACATACTGGCCAGGCTTTTGTTGTTCACCAGCAGGTAGAAAGCTTGTGTAGCAGTTAGAGCCATCCTGCTTCTAATTGAAAAAGGGAGGAGAAATAAAGGAATAAGCATTAGCAAACGTATTATGGTTTCAACTTCAGCGTATGAAATACATTAAGCAAAGCAGTTTGCATGAACTATATACAAGAAATTCTGCATGAAGTCATTTTGTTGTTTCATGTCTCCATCAGCAGGAAGTTAACTATGTTTGGAAGCCAAAAGGCTTGTGCTCTGGGGAAAGGCTTACATGGTTAGACTATGAGTGCTACTGAGCATGGGCTTTGAGTTCACAGCTACCAGGGAAAAGCTCAAGTAGAACCTAAAAGCTTCTGCAGTACAGATTTTTGTAAAGGATTCCAGCAGCAGTCTGTTACACCTACTATAAAGTCTACCTTCAAAAGAAGAGACCTTGTCAAGCACATTACATACAAGGCTCAGGATCTGAATTGTCCAAGAACCAAAAGCATCTTTTACAGAAATTATAATCTAGAAAGCTCTTTTCCTATATTTTAAGAAGTGTGCTGGAAAGCACACAGCCTTCATACTTTATCAGAAAATAACATTTAGTATTTTGGGAGACTTCTTCCCTGTAACATTTCATTAAAATCAATTTAGAAGCACATTTCATACCACTCACATGTAAGAGTGCTTTGAACTTGAGCACATTCAGCTAGATGTAGCAAGAGAGCAAGGTAGTGGCAGTCATAAGCAGAACAAAATCACAGATCCCCAGTACCAAGTCCATCAAGCAGGAAGAAAGCAGAACAGGAGTCTTTATGCACTACAGTTAGTGAGAAGACAGAAGACTTCAGGATTCAAAAAAGGCATAGACCCCATTTTTTCCCCAAATGCACCTGTGAAAACAACTGTTCATTTTCTTTGAAAAGCTGCAAGGAAGGGAAGCCATTACATTATTAACACCTTTATCCTCCTCCCTACCAAGGCAAGCAAGATGTCCCAGCACAGCGCCAGGAAACCCTGGCTGGAGAGCAGCAGCCAGCCCCAGCTACCCACCTGATGATGGTTATGAACTGTGTCATGGTCAGCTCCTCGGGAACCAGAAACTTGGTTTTGTCCAGGAGAGGAAGGTATTTCTCTTTATGGTATCGCTCAACAATCACCTGTTTTAATTAGAGCCATACTCAGCAAAACCTAAAACGTCCCCTCCCACATTTTAGAGAGAGGTTCCCAACGCTACTTTTTAGAATGTTGGCAAAAACCTCCGAAAACAAAATAGAGATTTACCGGGATTTTTGTTGGGAACTTCGCCCGGATTCCTGCTACTTCTTCCAGGCGGGTGGCTGTGCGGGAGAGAAGAGGAAAGCAGAGTTACGCGTGGGCGCGGCCCCTCCGGCCCCGCTCAGACCCTCCGCGCCCCTCGCCGCCACTACCGAAACTCTTCCTCAGCTTGAAGGGCCGGGCCGCCATGGCCCCGGGCGCCGCCTGCATCCTCCCTTTCCTTTCTTCCTCCCTCCCGCCGCCAGTCCCAATCCTGCTGCGGCCACCACCGCCCCGCGCCTCTTATGGGGCCGGGGCCGCCCCGCCCCGGCGGCCGCACCCGGGGCTGCGGGCAGAGCCCGCCCCGCTCGGCCCGGGGATGCGGGGCGGCCCTGAGTGGCGGCCGTGCCTCCCGCTTCCCGCTTTCTTCCCTCGCCCGCCTTCCTATCCCTCGCCCGACCGTCAGCTGGGCGCGCTGGGAATGTGGAACGTGCCGATGGTGAGCCCGACTCTCCCGTCTGCCCCACGGCGTCCCTTCCGTGCGCTGCTTTGTTTGATGTAAATTATCCAAACTGCGAGATGTTTTGCGTACAAGGCAATGAAATACTTTGTGAGAGGTCTTCGACTACCCTGCGGGGTGGTTGGAGGGTGAAGCTTAAGGCTGGACTGCCCCCATCTGTCTTCCCTGTCCGTATTGCCAGGCTTCTTCATACCTACAAACTGCTCTTGAACTATTTGGTAAAAAAAAACCGACAAAAACAACAACAACAACCACCAACCACCCCCTTCCTCTCCCCCGCCAAAAAAAACCAAACCAAACCAAACCAAAAAAACCCCAACAACAACAAAACAAAACAAAACAAACAAAACAAAGAAAAACCCAACAAACAAACAAAAACAAACAAACAAACAAAAACCATGTCGTTTTTCATCTCAGGCTACCAGATTGCTTATTTTCTGAATGACTTGGAGAGCTAGGTTTTAACTCTCTTTGTCTCTTAAGACATGGTTGTCATTTTAAGGGTTTCCAAGCAGACTTCAGGTCCATCTATTTCCTAAATACAATGAGACATATTCCTTGCCTTTTGGATTGCTTGTTCACTTGCTTTTACTTCAGCTGTCAAGATGGCTTTGCAGCCAAACGTAGCTCAGCAAGGACTAAAGTTAACTCCAGGCTGGTTGTAGTTTATATAAATCATCTCAGTGTACATCTGCAACTGATCCCCATTACTCATTTGCTTTGCTTATCCCTTTAAAATACAGGAATTTTCATTTTATTTGATCTATCATTTTGCTCACTATTTATTTGGTGTGGCACTTAGGGACATGGTTTGGTGCTGGACTTGGCAGTGCTGGGTTAATGGATGGACTCAGTGATCTTAGAGGTCTTTTCCAACCTAAATGATTCTATGATTCTACCAGGCTAAGGGCAACTGCAAGTTGCCAGGTTTATGAGTTACAGTTTATGAGTTATGGGTTTGGCTGCTTTTTCAAGGCAAAGTCAATGACTGTCACCTATGATAATTTTGAAAAGGAACATCTTTATTAAAGTGAGTGTGCACTATGTATGCATATGTCATGATTTTCAATCAGCCTGTGCAGAAGAGAGTTTTCAGCAGCTGAAGTTGTTAATGCTGCTCAGCTGCCCTTTTCTCTCGATCTGGAAGTGATGAGCTTTAGCCACAGCACAAGCTCCCCCACGTGGCACCACAAATTTTATTGGGCAGAGAAAATGCTTTGCTTTGAGGGATTCATGAGCAAGAGCTCTGAACTTTGAGAAAGGATTTGAGCCTACGCTGGAATGGTTTGTGTACAGCTCGTCCTTATGAGTAGACCTCTGCATCAGGGCAGGTAAGCCCAGGGTTTGCTTACATAACTGGGTCTAGCTTAAGCTCTTTTGAGTAGAGATGAGGTGACAGACTGGGGAAGCATGAGTGAAGGAGTATGTGTGCCACAGAACTGACATCATGCCATAACTCAGTATGGTGAGACATATTTAAGAAGATGAAGGAACAGAAGAATAACTTGATGGGTAAAGAAACAGAATGGGCAGCACAGGAACAAAGCCTGCAGAAGGCAGAAGGATGTGTGGAGATCACAGTGTGTTTTCTTTGGAGTGGTCAACTATGGTGCTTTCCAAAGCTGATCAGGAAGTGGACTGGTTCTTCCACACGCTCCTGCTGGTTTCTGCCCAGTAGATCCAGTAGAAAGATCTGTGATCCACTGTGTGTATAGGAGAGGGAACGTGCTACACCAGTGCTCTTCTGTGTCACCTCTCACTGCAGACGAAGTACAAAAGCATGTCTACATAAAAGTATCAGCACCCCTGCTCTCAGGGAGAGGTGGTTTCTTTTCATAATCATAAGCTCCTGTAGCAGCTTCTAGAGAGAAAAGTGAATACCTAATTAGAGGATGAGGCAAAGAAGATGAATTTCCAGCCTGGCGATCAGCTGCAGAACTAATGTCTGTGAGAGCTGAGTGAGCACAAACCATGGCTTTAGTGAGCATATGCTAACTAGTAATGTAAACGTGTTACCTTTTCTGGAGGCAGAGAGATTGGGATGTCTAACGAGCATCTGTGTAGCACCCGCACTTGCTCCTGAATTTCAGACCTAAATGTGGAATTTATTCTTTCTTCTTTCCTTTCCCTTGAAAGTTTTTCTCACATGCACATAATTAATGAACTGATAGAGCAGTTTTGTGTAGAGAATGGAGTACTTAGAGCACCATATAGAAATGGAAATGGAAGGAACAAAGTGAACTGTTAGTCTGTTTCTACCTGCTTGAATGTCCAAAGCCAACACTTACAGGCATCCTGTAAGTCCCTCAGTATTAAAGTACAAACCCAGAATTGCATATCTTATCTAGTCCAGTTTCACTGCCACATTCACAGCCTCTTCTGAAGTCCCAGGTTGGCAGCTGGGTAACTGAATTCTCACATATATCCATTGTCTCTGTATTGAAGTGATCTGTTCTGCAAGTGCTCTCCAACACTCAGATGTATCCCAGGGACACAAAGACATACCCAAAGGCAGGCATCTACTTTTTGCAAGTGTTGTGAGACTAATAGCACTGCTTTCTGGTGGATCTCTGAACTACTGTGGAGATGAGGATCAAGAGCTGCCTACATTAACAAAAAACCAAGGTAGTTTGATCAGGGCTTTGAAGTAGTATGTGTGAGTGCTATGAGGCTGGCCAAGCTTTTTCCTGTTGTAGGAAGCATACAGCTAAAATCTGGTAGCTGCAATGCATTCTGCCTTCAGAAGCCTCGCCAGTGCTCTCTGATGCTCCTATGCCATCATGGGTAAAAGCCCTGTAAGGAGTCTTGAGCATGGGTAAAAACAAACCACCTGGCTGCCTGCCTCTCCTTATGATTGGGGGATGCCTCCCCAGCAGACACAGCTTGTGCCAGTCCCCAAAAGCTGATCCCTTGCTTGGTTAATGCCCAGACCAGTGGCCAAGGACAGGCAAGGAGGCAGCGCCCTGCCACTCTGCCACCAGAGCAGTAACATCCAGGACTTCGGTAAGGTGAGGGCAGTGATGTTTTAAATAGCCAAAGATTTCTTGCCAGAGCTCAGGAAGCAGGGCTCCCAGCCTGAAGGTGAATTGAAGCTTGTTAGTCTGTACTGCCAAGTAGCTGAACAGTGCAACACCTAATGAAGGCAAACCCAAGGGTCAGACTTAGTCAGAAAAACTCAATAAACGTAAAAATCTCGATGGCATTAGAAGCGATTCATGTTCCAGTGGAAGAGATTTGCTCCACTGTTACACGGTGAAAAGCACTCTAGTATGGCATGAACTGAGATTAGTTTTTTTCTTTAAGTCAGTATGCAAGTGCTACTGAGTTAATCCAAGTATAGCAAAACTTGGATGACAGATGGGGCTTTGCTCTGGCTATAAATTCCATCCAGCATTTAATAATCTTGAACACAAGTGTATATGTAAGAGGCAGAGGGATTAAGTATAGAAGGCAGAAAACAGTTATCTATAGACTAACAATTTAAATATGAATGATACAGTGCTAGAGGGACTGAGATTTATTTATTTAAGCAGCCTAACTAAATAGAAAGAGAAATTTCAGCATGATGTTCTAGGGAAAAAATGTGATGGCAGAATGAAGGCTTATTTTATGCACTGTGAAAGCCTGTGAAATTCTACAGTATTATGCATAGTTACATTAAATACATGGTTTCACAGGGGTTGTCTGTAAGTAAAAATAGTCAAGAAGAGTTTGATGAGCCCTCAAGCAGTCTGGCTCAGCCAGCCAACTTAATGGGCTTTAAAAGGGCTATCCTGAATATTTGCACGCTCCCTGAACATGGGTAGTGACAGATAGGGAATCCTTTGCTTCCTTCTTTCCTTCTGCAACTCTGAGTCTGTCTATATCTCCTCCTGTGATACAGAAGCAAATTGTGTACCAGTAACTAAATTTCTGAATTCATAAGTCTTTATACCAAAAGGCTAGCTGGAGTACTGTTATGTTTAAGGGGATGCTTAGTACTGTATCTCTGATTTTGATCCAAACTCACCCACTAATAAGACTCAGATCATGAACCTATCTCAAAATGCTAAGTTCAAAAGTGGTGTTTCTGGGTTGATTGGCTAGACTTTATATGTACTTTTGGTTCTTTTTCTCCAGATTTTTTAACGTTTATATTGAACCTAGATCATAACTCTGACAGCTTTTTGGTGTAGCCACAAGGATTGGATGTGAATTATGTTACTTTTAAATGAGAGACTACATGACTGTGTTGCACCAGAGCTTGAGATTTTCATCTTAAAATGTCTCTTTTGCAAAAGAAACTTCAGTTAGACTCATTTCATTTCTCCTCTTTCTTACCTTTAACTCTATGCCTGGTTTCAGCTCATTGTGATGGACTAGTTTCTTTACACTAGTTTTTTGTTTCAAGTGCACTAATTGTGCTTTTCCTGAGTGCTCTATCTTTCATATCAAGATTTTTAAGACCACTCTCAACATTAATTTGTTACATTTTCAACCATATTGAAATAACTGAGTAGGCTGAACTATAGTGAGGTATCCTCAGTAGCTTTCAAGTTCTTCCACATAGTAAGTGCTTCTGGTTTAGCAGTTTAAATTTTACAAGACTTTGAGACCTAGATTCTCAGTATTTTTCTGCAAGTGTTGCTCAAACTGGTGGTTCTAACTAGACATAAAACCAAAACTAAATCAGTGACTCTTTTGAGGAGAACTGGCATAAGGTGGCAACCTGTTGGCCAAGGTCCCTGCAAGTGCATCTTTGACTTTCTGTTTTCTGCTGTACCAGTG